TTTGATTACAGCTTGATTCCACACCGTATTTTTTGGTACAAGTATGGAATTTTTAGCATGTGATATCGGTAGCCCAAATTTTGGAGGCCAACCATCGATATCAGGTGTGCGTCGGCAAGGTATCGAACCCCGGACCATGTGCATGGTCGGCGAGAGTCCTAACCACTGTACCACCGACCGATTGATGATGACTGAAGCTAGTTGTTGTCGTTGGTTAGGTATCGTCATTTCTCCTCTGTCTTCTCTATGTTCACTGTCTTTGATGCCTCCTCCTTCATTACAAACCTTGATGGTTCTCGTTTGTATATCTTCAAGTTTGTAACACATAAATCTTTGGTGACACTTCTGAATAAAGAAATATTTTGCGTATATTGTAGAAAATGTTTTTCATTTACCTGGGAATATCAAGTATGCGGAAATTATTTACTTGTAATGTTAAAAATTCCTTTAAGAAAAGAAACAACAATCAACACCAATATAGATCAATAATAGAGTTCACTTGTGTAAGGTGCATAGTAACTGTTGTAATTAGGCGGAGAAAGGTAGCTAACAATTATCACTGAAATTGTAGATGTATTTCACTCACTAATCGCATACTCCTTTAGGTATTGATTAATTTAATAGTTTCTTTTCTCTCTAGATTTTTCTTCTTCTTCTTTAGTCTATGAATAGTTTGTTATTAGGCGGATACACAAAATATTCACCAGAGAGAGAGAGAGAGTCAGAAAAGCTAATCTAACTAAGTCACTGAGCCTGTGTATCCTTTTCATCTTCTTACGTAACCAACTACTCGTTATCTATAGATATGTGAGTGTGTGTGTGTGTGTGTAGGTTTGTGTTCACGCTGTATTACTCTGTATAGATGGTGAAAATGCGAAATCTTTTTCTTCAAAATGGTTATAATCACTCTTAATCTTTCCTACAACTACTAAGACACTACCTCAGTTAAGTTGGCTTAAAAGTCTTCTTTTCTCCCTTTCACCTTCGCCTATTTTTTTAAAAAATCCTTTCTTATTGCTATTACTTTCTTCCCCAGCAACTTAAGCAAGATTTATTATTCAAGTCTAATGGATGAATAAATTTGTGTCATCTGAAAAAAAACAAAATAGAAAAGAAAAGTGTGTGTGTGGAGGGGTGGGGGAATGGCATATTAAACCCAACTAACTTTATTTCTTATCCTAATTTATAACATCTACACTTGGAATTTTATTTTTCTCTTTTTTTTCAGTTATTCATTCAGTTCACAATCATAGAATGCAATATGCACCGGTTGTTTGTTTTTTTGTTGTTGAGGAGTTCTGTCTCCTGAATAAAAAAAGAATGTTTCTTCTGAGTGTGTATACATAAAACAAAAAGAAGATTGGATAATTTAAGAGTATAGAATAAACAAAAGTGACAATTGTGAACGAGCTTTATTCTCATTGACGGTGAATTTCGAATGACTGAGAAATGAGTACTGTTGTCGGTGTACATATATTACCTGGGGAAGCCTCAAACTTGGAGGTGTGGGCCGGGGGGTTTGACGGAATTGTCCCCTCCTAGGTCTTCTGGTTTATTTCATTTTTTTCCTTTGTGGACAACAATCATCAGACTATTTTATTGTGTTCATTGTATGAGTTGATCTCTGGGTGTTAATCGACACAAGCTTTCAAGATGGAGTTGTCTGTGTGATCTTTAAGATATGTCTATCCGTGCTGAGATTTCAGCACGGATACGGTAGGTTCGTCTAACATATGCTAATTTACGCCATCTCTAGCGTAGACGTGATATTCGGCTGTCCGCCAAAGGACACTGTCCTCCTTTATAGCTGTGAGTGAGACATGGTCATTGAGAGTGGAAGACATGAAAAGGCCAGTTAGCTGTCTTTGACCATAGGTGTCTGCGTTCTATCTCCCGTGTAAAGTGGTATAGTAAGGTGAGCAAGTGCGTTGGGGGCACAGCGGTTAGGACGTTCGCCGACCATGCATATGGTCCGGGGTTCGACCCCCGGCCGGCGCACTCCTTTACCTCACTGGGCCAGAAATAATGCTGGTAAAGAGGAAAGGTTGGGCATGAGGCTAGCAACCCCATCCTGTAAAAATTAAACACTGCTACAGAAACTTCAAGCCACTAGCTTGGAGCCCTATGTTCCACTGGGAACGTGAAGGAAAAATTATTATTATTATTAAGGTGAACAATATTAAGGTTAGGCTTCGGTCGAGTGTTAGGTAAGGAGGGGAAATCAATCAATGAGGTTGTGAAGCTACATCGACTGAGATGGTTAGGACTTGTTTTATGCATACGTAGGAATAGCCTTCTTCGACGAGCAATGTTAGCTGACATATGACGGATCAAGTTGGAAAAGAGATAGTGTTGGTCATACCAAAACATGGCTTCATCAGTCAATGAAATCCACAACAATTCCTTTAAGTCAGCCACATAGGGATGTGTAGACTTCCTGACCGTTTAAGGCTCTCGGGATGGTAAAAACCAATGGTTGGAGACAATTGGTGATATGACTCAAAATCATTCTAAATGGTTGGGGCAAATGTGCTCACTCTTTGTGATTTGTCATATTCGATGAGACTCTGTTGTTCTTCCATATTACTATTCTTTTGCCTGTTATCTCTGTTCATTCATCTCTTTTGAATATCTCTTCTCTTGATTTGTGTGCTACGTAGACGGAGTGTGGTGACTCGAACTGGTGGACATCTATGCAAAGTTCTATGTTAAAATCAGCCATGTTTTTTAGAGTTGGGGTAAACGGACAGAATATTTCAGGTCTTCATTTCGTGTTTGTTTTGTTGAGGATTGGATCGTGTCATTCAGACTGATTGACTTAGTTTCGAGGTAGAACTTCTTACAGAAGCCCAGCATTTCAAATCATGACACAAAAGTAGAGAAAAAGAAAAAATAACCTTAAACGGATTATAATAAGCAGAAATGTACTCGAGAAATACGAGAATTAGAGGGATCTTGGGTACTACAAAGAGTGAATACATCTGCAACAGTGAAGGTTGTTTTGAGCTATATCACTAAAAGTTTCAAGCTATTGGTTCTTAGCATTCTGAGAACCCCAACCAGCCAAGCAGTCTACATCGCGTATGTGACTGGCTCAAAACAACTGTCAGAGACTTCATGGATTGATTTGACAACTTCTAACTCTTTTCCAACCTATTCCTATGTTCGCTAACATTGCTCATCTAAGAAGACGTTGGCTTGGCATGCTCTGGAATCTATCTTAGCCGTCTCAGTCGATATAGCTTCACAGCCTCATTGATTGACTTGCCGTCATTACCTAACACTCGATGCCTAACCTCAGTATTACTCACCATATCAGAACACTCAACAAGAAAAGTAGAACGCAAACACCTGTGGCCACTCTCAGTGGCCATGCCGCACAACTATAAAGACATAGGGGACCGCTACGCAGTAAATACGTTCTTTCATAGATAGCCAGATATCATGTCTATGCCAGAGCTTATGTCCGTTGGCAAATGCCACGCAATTCTCTTGTGCCTCTTTCGTCAGCGAACAGTCCACTAGGGTTGATGAAATTTTATCAAATAAGTAGAGTGGTCAACACCTTTTCTTGTGCATATTCGTTTTAGCATCCTTGTATATCTATTTCGTTTTCCTATATCCCCTTATAAAGTGTGACAACCTAAACTGATGCTCTCCTTTACAAAATTCTAGTCTTTTTGTCTTCTGTGTACCAAATTATTATGTCCTGCGGGTTTTGTTGAGGCTGGTTATTGACTTTTTTTCAGTCGATAGGTTTGCAGACTTGTTTTTTCAATGAAGTGTTAATTTTAGTTACTTCTCAATTCATGAATAATTCCCATTCAGACATTAATGAAAACAACTGCGTGTTTTGTTTTTAATTTCCAGTTACTCTCTTTCTTCTAGGATCGTACTAGTTATAATACAGCCTATTTCAATAGTTAGTGTTGAAATGTTTTTCTTTCTTCGTTTCACCTCAGTTATTACCAAAACTTACACACTTTCGTTCGTTCGATTCATAGACTGTCTACACTTCAATAAATGAAGTGGGACGTGTAGAATGTATAAATCAGCAGTACAAATTGGATGTTGAAATAGGAAATGTTCCGACAACTAAGTAGATCCATGGACTGATGCTGTGAGCTGTTTAGTGAACTATGCGCTAGCTGGTGGGATCTGTGAAATATTGTCAAGAATTATTATTAAGATTCTGTGTTCAATGGTTGAAATATTATCCTTGTTGCTTGTATACGTTAATTTCACTTGTTTTTTAAATTTTGTTTTCTCTGTATCCTGAGTTCGACTGTGAGAAATGAAGTCGGTGGATTTCTTCACAATACCTGACATTTTAATATTTTTCCTCTTTCCTCCTTTACTGTAATCAAGTATTCTGAATTATAACTATGTATTAATCGTTAGATTTTTGTCACGAACCGATATCATTTAGAATGATCTTTAGAGACCAGGAGACATTGAATATCTGTTTCGTCTTATTTTGGGATTCTTCAGGTGTGCGACCCCGCCAGGAATCGAATCCTAGGACTTGCAGGTTACGAGACTCAGTCCATTGACCATTCAGTCACTTGGTCTGGAATTCAGTGACCTGTGAATTTTAACTTTGTTAGCTCGTGATCTAGCGCTACCCTCAATCCAATGCCTTCAGTGAAGCAGCATCCACTTCACCTTGACATGTTGAACCCTACTGGTCACGACTTCTCACTTCACAGCTTCAAGACATTGGTTGAGAAACTGTCAATGTACTGAAAGGTTAATGTTTAGATTATGGGTTTTGTAGGCGTTTGGATTCATTTCTGTTGTTAGATTTCCTCACGGACTAACATCATCAGTAAACAAGTTTGGTCTGGTAACTTGGTGGCCGCGGATTCGATTTCTGGTGGGGTGGTGGGTTCGCACTTCTAATCTAACAAATAAAATGAATCTAAATAACCAGATTTGTCGGTGGTAGTTTTTCTTATAAATTTCTCTCTTTTTTTCCCTTCCTTCATTTCTTGTTATAGGTTTCCACCACACTGAGACCTGATGTAGTCAACAATCAAACTGTTGACACTATTAAGATGACAAATTCTCGGCGCAAGTCATCAAATCCAAAAGATAATCTAAGCAATAATACAGATATGTCACAACGAAATGGTAATACTATTGAAGAAGGCAGTGTCGTTGAACAACCGGGTGATGTTGACAACGATAATGACGATGACGAAGAAGATGTTGATGTGAACTTTAAACCGAAACAAATCAGTCAAGAAGTCAATCGATTATTTTGTGTCAAAATTACAGCCAGGTTTGTTTGTTTATTCATTTGTGTGTTTTACACTATCAGCCATACATTTTCATCCTGCTTTCATCTGTACCGTTTAATTTGCCTTTGCTCATTAGTGTACACTGTCGCTTGGCTTCCGACTACATTAGTTGACGGGTTGAAACATCCGTCCGCCTACCGAGATTCGGATAACCAGACAGTATTTACAGCGAAACTCCATCGAGATGAATAAAACTAGTGAGACCTCTTCTTCATTGACCTTTCCACTGACACACAAGACTTTACTCGATTTACTGCTCATATATATTTATAAGTAGGACACACCACAAGCGTGACTAACCCTCAGAGAATATTTGTGGCTCACAGCCAACTGTATGTAGGTGATGGTTGTTGAATATCATTTCATTTAAAAAAAAGTGGATTATGTTTCAGTTCATGAAATATTGATTAGGTTTTTAGTCGTTGGCGGTTCAGTGATAAGATGCTTCCGTACAACGCATATGTTTTGGGGTTCGAATTTCAGGCCGATGGCTTCCTAAACCTCGCCTAATTCACTGGCAGATAGTAAGCCTAGAATAGAGGGAATAGCCATGAGAATAGCTACCTTACCTCGTAAAAACAACACGATTGCTACTGAAACTTCAAGTCTAGGGCCTTATGTTCTACTCAAAATTTGAGAAATGGAGAAAAAGAAAATTAGATTAGTACTTGTTACACTGCCTAACTGTTAGAAATTCATTGAAGTAATATGAGGGACTAATGATATTTTCAATTAAATCTTTCTTAAGTACCACTCTAACATACGCAACTCTTTGTATACATGCAATTCTTCTAGCCAATGACGTTAATCTTCAGGACAATGACAACAATACCGTAAATTGTATAGGTGATGGCAATGATAAGAATAATGGCAATAATAACATAGTGAGAAACAGTTGATGCATATGCTGATAGGAATAATGAAAATAACATGTCAATATAGGCATTTCAACAATCAAATGAAAATGCAACTAGTTATCTGCAAATTATATGTTTCGAGGTGGAAATTCATCACGGTGATGTCGTTTTCACGGGATCGAATCTCTAACCTCATCGAGAAACTTACCTTTTTTTCTTGGTTACTAACGCCTAGGCGAGGTATAGGAGTGTGTTGGCAGGGAATCGAACCCGGGCCTCTCGCGTGGTTGGTAAGCATTGTACCATTCAACCGTCAACGCGTTAAGTAAGTTATGAAGTAACTAGATAATTGAAGGAGAATAGTGAAAAGTTCTCATGTGAGAAGGACTCATTCAGTAAATTCTTCCTGGTTAATGAATGGACAGATGATGTTATTATTTGAGTCAAGGTTTTACTCTGAGTCGTTGACATCATTGATCAAGGTACCCAAAAACCACTTTCTAGACTATACATAGTAACCAAAAGTATATTGGTGGTTTAAAATCTTGCAAGGTGGAAATTACTAATGAATGAATGAGCAGCAAGTTACAACAAACAAGAATCTGATAGGTAAGAAGGAGTTTGCGTCGGTGGTATAGCGGTAGAATGCTCGCCAACGATGCGAGTGGTCCGGGGTTCGACCCCCGACCAGCACGCTCCTAAACCTCGCTAAGCCAGTAATAAGACTGGTAAAGAGGGATGGCTGGGCATGAGGCTTGCAACCCCATTCAGTAAAAATAAATACCACTGCTACCGAAACTTCAAGCCTCTAGCTTGAAGCCTTACGTTCCACCGGGAACGTAAAGGAACTAAAGAGAACGAAAGGAGACTTAAGCAGGTTGCCTACAGAGTCTGTGAAGACGATTTCTTTGATTAAGGGGATTCGATTTATCTAATTATCTTTTATTTCTTTAGTATATTTACAAAAATACCTTAATGTAGTAAATTTCCTGCTTTCGCTTCAGATCTTCGACAAAAATATTCGCAATCAGCTGTTTACGTGTCCTGATCTCCAGTTGTGCTAAGCTGTGCAATGCTTCATTACTAACTGAGAATTACCAATCCAATCAAATATCAGTGAATACTTATGATGAGACAAGTGATGTAATTGTTAATCCTAGTTCAATAGCTCACTTCGATCTAGCTAAGGCTAGAGCTCTTCGTTCACAATCAGGAAAATCTGATTGGCTTATTCTCTATTTGTCAGATTTAATTCGTATAGCTTTTATGTCAGCCACCTCAGAAAGTGATCGTCTTCGTATCACAGGTTTAAAGTTGATGCAAGATGTTGTTCAGAGGTTTTCTCCAGTACCAGATCCAGACTATCCAGGTAACTAAGTAACCTATGCATCCATTCATTCATTGCAATATTATATTGCTTTTTTCGGTAGGCATATCATTCTATGCTATTCTTTAAAGTTCGGTCTTTGTTAACTATTTATTTTTATAATAATGTCTAATAATGGAAAGGCTTATGGAAATTTAGCTTATTTAACTAAGTATTCAACCTACTATCGATTGGTCTTAAACTATCCCGATCTTGGCAAATTAAGACTTTCAGACACGACGACCCAATTAGGAACCTATTGCCCGAAAATATGCAGAAGAAGAAAGTGAAGATGGATTGGACAGATGCTGAGGAGACCACTGAGTAACATTCCGGGACAGGCTACCGAGTGAAACTCGAACGGAAGCTTCCGAGGGTGAGCAGGAGGTGAGATTGTTTCCTTTAGTTCCTAGAGGAACATAGAGCTTCAACCAAACGTCTCCATTGTGTTCGGTTCTCTGCCAACGTTTTCACCTGGCTCCACATCTGCTCACATGCTTCCATCTGCTCTTTACATGATCTCCTTCATATCACCCTCACACTGACGACCAACTCGCCGATTCCCATTCGGGTTCCGCTCGAGCGATCGCCTGGCGTGTGATCTAACTCACTTGATGGCTTGTTTTCTCAGAGTATGGCCAGCCAATCCACCTCCATTTCTTCCTGCATATTTGTTGCACACTTGGTTCCTGGTGGGTTGGTTCGTTCATAGCCAGAGATCCCTGTTGCTGATCTTTTCTGGTCATCTGATCTTGAGTAGTATTGAGTGAAGACACCTATTAATGAAAGTCTGTAGTTTGTTCGAAGTTCCCTTCGTGACGCGTGAGGTGAGAACTTATGGGCAATCCTAGAGCCAACTAGAACGACTGCTAAGAACAAAGTGAAAAGGCGATGTGCTGCTAAAGACCTATATTCCATCAAGAACCCAGGGGACGAATAATAATAATGACATATTATGAGGTTTATCTCATGTTGCATAGTCTCATGTTTTCATGCATGGCGTAATTGGATTCTGTTGAATATTAACTAAAGTAGAGTTACGAATAAAGCAATATTTGTTTTGTCATGGCATGAAATTTTCATTGCTAACATAATTTATCACAGAAACAATTGTAATCTCAACTTAAATGCGTGGATATAGTCGAAGACAAGCCTTATTCCCACACTTCTTACCTGTTGATGCTTGTTGGTAAGGTGTTTCTGTAGTGTTAGCGGAACTGATGCTCCTTTGGAGTCTGTAGTTTGTATTAGCCAACATTAACGTCTGAGACTTTAGCCTTGAATATCGTAGGTTTGGACCTCTCTGAATGTGTTATTTCCCTCGAGAAGTCACGTTACTAAACAATCGAAACGGATCAACTAGAGTAGGTCTAGATAAAATGACGCCTTTACTATTATCTTCTAATCACTATTAACATCTGTACCTCTGTTCTACCTCCATAGATCATATTATTCTGGAGCAATATCAAGCTCAAGTGTCTGCTGCATTACGACCTGCTTTTATTTCTACCTCATCATTGGATTTATCAGAGAATACTACAATTACAGAATCATCCACGCCAAACATTTCTACTTCATCCAGTATTGTTCAGTCTAATCCTGAACTCCTGTCTATAGCTTGTCAAGTTTGTAGTTCATGGATCACTTCTGGAGTTGGTCGTGATCCAGAAGATTTACGTCGTGTACAAGATCTATTGAAACAAGCCTTGAATAAATTAAAACTTGATCAATCAATTAGAGAAGATCATTCATCTAATAGTTGTGTACAAGGCCAACGTACAGAATCATCATCGTCATCTCAATGGATGTCAGAAAATTCGACAATTGTTGAAAGATTGTCTATTTTAGCCGCTTGGGCTGAAATTTATATTGTAACCGCTGGACAGGCTAAAAAGTTGGGAGGTAAACTACACCAAAAACAACATTTAGAGACAAGTCAGTCACAGCCGTTAGATGAAGACCAGCCTATAGATGAATCAGATGAAATGAATACTAGTGAAAATGAAGATGAATCTGATTATAGCATAATCATAAAAGGGATATCATTAGAGGACATGTTATCCACTGGTAAGCGTAGATTTAATTAGTATTTTTTTTATAAGTAATCTTTCTGAAATAACCTGGATATTGACTGGAAATACTAAGACAGCATAGATCATAATTAGTTTTGATTTATGGGTGATTTAACTAAGTGGTCAAGCACACGAATGACATTGCCAGGAGCCAACCAGAGTGAGCCATACTCATTTAGGAGAAAAAATGTTTGAGGAAGTGTAAGAATACATTGATTGTTTACTAGGGTGAAATCATTATCGTGTTTCTAGGATTATGTTAGCTTGCCCAGCCCCACGTATCGGATACGGAATGTACTGTTGCACAAATATGGACGAGATTCAGACTCAAAGATATTCAGTCTTAATCCTTCATTGACGTTTCTACCAGGCACATGCATCAATCGTCTGAACTTGAGGTTCCTCTTGAGCTAAACATGATAACCACAACAATGGTCAGATTATACTTTACTGATTAATGTATTCGTTAGGTAGGGCAAAACTAACCTATTTCACGGTGGTTTAAATCCAGCTCACGTTCCCTATCAGTGAGTGAACAATCCAACGCCTAGTGAACTCTGCTTCATAATGATAGGAAGAGCTTAGCTCACAGGAGTAATCAAGCAAGGTGGCTTGTCATCGTGGTGATTAGAGGATCTATGTTTGTTGCTTGTTGGCAGTCCCCAGCAGGGTGTATCTGCGTCTTATAAGAAACTAATGTCACTTTGGAGTTCCGGACTCGTGTTACTCAGTGCTGCTGATATACAAAAAACCTAAGGCCAGAAATTCCTGTCTATGAACTCCAACCATCTAACAACAACTGGAAATGTAAGAATGTTAAACAGGATTCCTTTCTTTAAAATTTATGTAAGAATAATCCCCAGTTGCTCATGCGTCTGGCTAGTATTTATCCGGAACGACTATCGTTTAGGATAGTTCCCTGAAGTTTGATTTAAGGTTAGGATTTAGTTTTGAGGCATTTATCCAAATGATACCTTTTCCCTGAATCCTGAACAGTGTTCATGCTTAGTAACAAACCCGACTGATGCATTATCACTTTCAGACTACAGGATTTATAGGGATTTCGGGTTGATTACAGGTATTAGATTTTCGTTACGACCTAACATCAGTTAGATCGATCATTGAAAACCACCGAGCACTGGACAGCTGTTTTGTCCTATTTTGAGGCTCTTCACCAGGGATCAAATCGTGTACCTTCAGGTTACCAGACCAAGCTAGTTAGCCATTCAGCCTCTTGATTCGGAATTCGGTGACCCATTGATTTTTTTTGCATGGAGGATTTCATCATGAGCTGACATAGGTTAGAGAACCACTGGAAAACCTGGGAGTATTGTACAGTTGTTTCGTCTTTGTTTGGGACTCTTCATCAGTACTCACCCACTGCCAGGGCTCGAACCCACGACCTTCTGGTTACGAGGCGACCTCGTAAACCATTGAGCCACTGGGACCAGATCCAATGGCCCATGAATTCTAATTTCTGCCAATTCACGACATATCACAACCATTTCGCAATGTCCTCTTCGATGAGTTACTGCCTCATCTTCAACCTGCTGGTCATGACTAACTTTGTCAATACGTTATGTAGCGCTGCCGTCAACCAGTGCCTTCGATGAGCAGCACCCTCTTCATCATGACGTGGTCTACTTCACTGGTCATGACTTCTCACTACAGCTTTTGAGCATCGATCCAGTAACCATCCCCGAGCTGGTGATTGATATATTCACACTATAGGAGTCCTAAAATTGGATGAAACAGCTGTGTGGTGCTCTCTGGTTTTCAATGATCTGTTTAATTGCTGTTGGTTTCTGAGGAAAATCTAGCGATTAGTATCATAACTTTACTTATGCAAACTCTGATTGGTTGCTTTGATCGCTGTTCTTCTACTTCGCCGTATTACCTTTACACATATACTCTATCAACTTATCTGAAACAAATAGCTGTTTATCAGAAAAACTTTTCTGAACAATGCAAAATATGCATATCGTAGATAGATCCTTCACGTTACAGTGAAGTAATGGTAATAAAAACTGAAATTCATAAATGATGGGTTTGTAGGATGATGATAAATTAAAAAGAATAGGCTTGTGGATTTGTTAATTTTGTATATAAAACTTTGATACAAAGAGGTTAAGTGAAGCAACTAGAATGGTACTACTAACAATGATGATGAAATGAATAGCATAGTTATAATAATATCAATAGATATTTGGAACGTCGAGCATAAACGTACGCATTACGTGGATGTCCATAGCAAAGAAAAAAGCTCTATGAATATCTCAGTGAACACAAAGATTTGGGTTATGCAGATGAATTTGAATTGCCTGTAATATGTGTAAGAGTCAGCCTTGTAGAAACTGAGAAAAGTTAGATGAAATGGAATTAATACGTTTGTAAGCTCTGTTAATATATCGACTTGATGTCCCGTGTCAACAAGGTGAGCTTGTATAGATTTACATATCACCTAACTATTATGAGTGGTGTACAGAAATCTGATGATGGACTTACCAAATCATATGTGCGAATGTAACTAGCTCCACAGGAATAGTTGAGCGTTAACACGTGAAGCTGTGACTTATTGGTGCAGACGTTCGACTTCAGACTAGTGGGTCACCGGCTCAAATACCACTCCACCTATCGAGTTTTGCCGAACCATATAGTATCACATAAGTGTGTCACCCAGTGCCAACTGCATGGAATCGCAAGTGGTTGTTGAGTAACATTCAGACGATAAATGCACAACTGGAATATCGGTTAACACGAGAGGCCCCTGTTTTCGTTAAAAGTCTTTCTTAATGCTCTTCTCAAACCGTATAACTCCAGTTTATGGGTAGTGTTACCAGTAAAAGTGGATTTTTTAAAATAGTTTTTGCATCCATTTAGAATATTAAGCATATCAAATATTGATCGCATGCATGGAACAACTACTTATACTCATATGTTATCTCTATTTTATTATTTATTTGTACTAGAGTGTGAATTTAAATTAATTGTACTCAGTTTTTTAAGTATTTAGTTCATCTAGACTGTAGTGAATGGAGTAAATTTTGATCAATTTAAATTGTAAAATTTTGTTAATTAGAACTATCCTCCATACTCTGTGTGTGTGATCGGGCTAAGACTACGTTCTAACTGTTGGTCTGACCTATACTAGAAAGTGTACTCACAGTTTAATTGTCTCAAGATACTACTAGTTAATCGATTTATTGAATATTTTGACTGACGTAGTCGTTAATCACTCAGGCATTTCTGACTTACGAAAAGGAATTACTAAACTATAATTATGTTTATTAATATTGATTGGTACTTTTTTTACTATTATTCCTTCTCTTCTGTTCACTTTCACATTTTTACTCGAGAAGTGAAATATTTTTTTCAATGTACAAGTTTTCCACTTTGCACTTTTTTTTGCTTACATTTGTTTGTCTCTACACGCGTGCATTAAATATGTGTTTGTACGCCCGCCTTTCTCTCTTCGTCTCTCTGTAGGGATAAATTTCCCCATAAACGTTTGAATTACTTTTTGTTTTTGCAGTTTATATCATAGTGTTTCCCTTTCGTGCTTTATTTTTGACTTTTAATTACAGATAATTATATTTTCTTGAAATTTTTAATCATTAATATTTTGAAAACAGAAAGATTGAGCAGCGAAGAAATATTCATTACTTTTCATTCATTAGATCTTCATCTCACTCTGGCTCTATTCTAATATACACGTATAGCATTTTTATTACAATACACAACAATTTACCAATCAAGTGGCACTGATACGTTTTTTAACACTAATTAAACAGTGTCAAAATGTCAATGGGTTGATAATTAACGAAGAAAATCAATACACATTTAAAAGGTAGAAATGGATAGAATAAATTAACTTAATTTTACAAGGATAACACGTAAATTAAAGATGAAGCGGTCAAAATAAATAAAAATAAAATAAATAATTTAGACAAATATAATTTTTATAGGTTTAGGAGGAGGGGGGGACGACGCAGTCCTGTTTATCCATTCTTGTGACGATGGCCACGGTAGGGAAAATGGCTGTACAAATTTTTTTCTGTACACATAGGCTTGGCTTCTTCAGGTGAATTCCGATTGCTTGAGCCGTCTGTAGAAGACGAACTCGCGGAGCAAAATTAAGATTAGTAGGAATGCGATAAATAATTTTAAATACTGTATTAACATCAACCTTATGCTCACTATCTACAAGGTGTGCTACAATAGAGCTACGAATAGATATTGTTTGTCCCTTTACTTAACCACGTTGGATGATGTTCTCAAATACGACTATGAACTTGCCTAATTGTACTCCCAATGTAGCTGGCTCCGCATCTGCAGTCAAACTGGTAGATACACATAGAAGAGGCGAATTTAGGTAGTTTATCCTCATTTCTCGAACGTAGAATAGGTGTGGTTGTGAAAAGACAACGTACCTCTGCTGCATAATAAGTTCTTTTAACTACATTCTTCAGGTGCTGTGTTATTATGTCGCTGATGTTGTTAACAAACATATCAGTGCCACTTCATTGGTAAACTGTTGTGTATTGTAATAAAAATGCTCTATGTGTATATTAGAGTAGAGCCAGAGTGAGATGAAGATCTAATTGAAAAGTAAGTATTTCTTCGCTGCTCAATCTTTCTGTTTTCTAAATGTCTAAATGAGGATTTTTTCTTTATTAATATTTTGAGGAAAGAAATTTGAGAGGAATATTTTTATTTTTTTCTATTATTTCTTCTCTTAAAAATCAAATGCATTATTGTCAGTATATCATGTGACACGCACGTATACATGGGCACAATCGACACTCTTGAATATGAAATAAGAAAAATAAAAAAATCTGATAGATATAGATGAGAATAGATATCCAGAAAAAATTTGTTAAGTTCTTCATGATGAGAAGAAACACAACTAATGAATTATTGGCATCAAAACTCTGGAATATAAATAGCGCAAACATTATCTACAGGATTTCATCATGAGGTGACATCGGCTAGAGAACCATCGGGGCTCTTCAGAAGCACTCACCCACCACACGGGTTCGGACCCAGGACTTTTTGGTTACAAGGTGACCTCGTAGACCATTAAGCCACAGGTCTCCGATCCAATGGTTAGCCCATGAATTTCAACTTCTGCCAATTCACGATATAGAGCGACCACTAGCCAATTTCATCGTTGGCGAGTATTCGTCCTCACTTCCGATCTGCTTTACCCTATTGGTCATGACTTCTCACTAGAACCCCAGGTAAATACCTACCTGAATAGGGCCATTCGCTAATGAGCATCTCTAACCTATGTCATCTTACAATGAAATCCTGTTACCAAGCAGTCAAATTCCTACAAACCAATACTTGACTAGTTTGTAGATTTACCACTTGTTGTGTAATTCCAATGCAGATGAAGGTTAAACTACCGAGTTTCGTCACTTTAGTGTGCGTTTATAGATTTAACTGCTCTTGTGTAGACAGTTATATAGGTAAAACGACTCGACAAGCCTATCGTTGCCCCTTTTGAACATCAGGACTTTCATATTGGCATATCTTGCGGATACACGGAGCACAAAATTGGGAAAAATTCAGTCTTTAAAGGGCAGATGAGCTCGACTCCAAACGAGGGACACAGTCATCCGTTGTCAAGATCGCCTCTGTCGGGTCAACAGGCACTACTGGTTGTTGTAAGTGGTGTTGAACTACTCGTATCAATCAGTCAGTAGTATATAGCATCATGTGTGTATGCTTATTTCTTCTTAAATTCACATTTATGTTATCAAGCAGATCACACATTTTTGGTGCAATCTGAATAATTTCAGTTATCAGTGGGAATTGTTGTGAAATTTCAGCTTGGATTATGTGTGATTGCTGCATTGCTAATTTGCTTCTGTTAATGTCATGGAATATACGCATTGGGACATCGGAGTTATTAAGAAGACAGTTGCAGCGAAGAAAATTTTCTTTTCGACGAAGTCATCATCTAGGCTGTACATTCGTGTATTTATATCAAATGGATGGGAAAGTTCCAGAATAATTTCCGGTTAAGGGATAAATTAATAAAAATTACAATTACAGGGGGATGGATAAAACTCAAACAAAGTAACATCATAATAGTTGCTAAGTAGATTGACATTGTGCAACTGGGGTTTAGAAATGTAGAAATAACAAAAAAAGATAGGATGTTTGGACAAAAAAATTAATGTGATGAATAATTGTTTATGCAATCAGGGATTAAATATGTAGAAATAGTAAAATGAGAAAATAAACACGAAGTTCGGATATGAAAGTGTGGCAGTGTAAACATGGATTAAGAAAAACTTAAAATAGCATGAATAAACAGGAAGTTTAGATAAGAAGGGCGATGGGATGGTCATTACTAAAAAAATACCTGTTTATGATGGCCATGGCAGGGACAGGAGTTGGACGTATTTCTTTTGGATACAAAGTTTGGATTCGAGCTTTTGGATAGCTAGTGCCTCGGCGACACCCAGATGTCTTAATTTCACTCCCTTTGATAGGTTTGATTGAATCTTGTATATTATTTTGAAGGATTTTTCGAAAGGCGCTGAATGTCCTGAATTGACCAGATGTTCTGTCACTGAATTATATACGCGTTTTCGTTCTCCTATTACTAGTCAGGTTGGATAGTGTTCACGAGCGCGTTTTGCAAGTTGGCGCATGGTACGGGTGATATACTCGGCTCCACAAGAGCAAGTAAACTGGTATATGCACGTTTAGGTGGCCTAATGCGACAGCTTGTCTTTCGCGTTCTGTTAATGTCACTTTTTATATTTGTATAAATTAGATTTTAAATATGGTACATATTATCAAAATTTATCTTTTACCGCTTCAGCTACTACTTCTGCTACTACCACAACTCCAAGTAGATCAATTCATCAATTATTAACAAAATGGATTCAGCCTATCCTGCCAGGTTTAAGTCAAGCATGGTTAAGTGCGCTAAGAGATTATGCATATATGTGTCTACCAGACAGTTTATCAAATCAGCAACAACAGCAGCAGTCAAGTGATGTGATAAAAAATTCATCTGATCACTTCAATATAAATAATAGTAATAATCTTGATCAGATACGCGTATATTATGCACGTTATTGGCCATGTATGACGTATGCACTTGCTTTATGGTTAACAAATGAATCGTCATCATTTGTTGATGAGAATAAAACCAACAGTAAAAATGATATGTCAAAGTCATCACGTCATTTCTTTTTAATTTTAGGTAAGTGATAAATTATTATTATTGTTATATTATTGATTCTTTGCATTCCAAACGAGATGTAAGGCTTCAACGGCACATTTCTATTGAACTCAGTTCCCTAGAAAACGTGAACGTACTGGACAGCTGTTTCGTTCTAGTCCAGCACTTTTCAACAGCAGTATGCACCCACTTGCGTTTGAATCTAAGACCTTCCAGTTACGAGACGAGCTCGTAAACCATTAAGCCACTGGGAGGGAATCTGATTGCCCATGAATTCTATATGAGCATTGAATCTACAGCTAACTCATGGCTTCTCATACAGGTTCAACTCAAGTGTTTAACCTGCATATGTGACTGATGTTACTTGAATTTTCCGTCAGGCTATGTCCAATCCATTTCCATTTTCTTCTCGTTATTCGTGTTTTTGCCCCCGAAGTTCCTTGTTTCTTGTTTATCCTTTCTTGTCGATCATCTAACCTTCAGTATTGAGCGAAGGTAGCTGTCGATGAAAGTCTGTAATAACTTGTTGGTAATACTTCTTTTGAGAACTTGAGCATCAAGTCTTTGAACCATATGGAAGCACTGAATGACATTAGGCATAAATGGTTCACCTTAATCAGCTTATTATTATTATTATGGAAATATTTTTATTTAAAAATGATACCTTCCTTACTGATGCTGTTAACTAGCCTGATATTCAAACGTTATCCACTGACGATATCAGTATTAGCGATATTCATTGGGAAAACAGAGCAGAGTTATTTAATCTATGCAGCTACTTACATATATACACTGATAGATATCTATGCATGAAGGAATTATTCAATACATAATAGTAATAATAATAAGTTCCAATTAATGCAGGTGCTTTTTTTGTTTTTTCCCAGAGGCATTATTGTAAAACAAAAATGAAAGACAAAGTAGATGGGAGTGATGACGTCATTTGTGAGAAAAAAGTTTGCATTTTTTCTCAGTTTATTCGAAATTATTCTACTAAGCATTAATTTTTAATAGTGTATACACACGCACAACTGGGACTAATAGCAAGGGACATAGGTAAAAATTATATTTACTGAATAAATCTCACCAAAAATGAAATGAATAATTCCAACGTCTCGTTTTTTGTTGTTGCAAATATCGATTATTTCTCTGAAGAGGTTCTGACCAGTTTGCTGAATGAAATGTTGGAAATATTTATTTCAATTTCTTTGAGATTTAGTTTTATACTGCTGTTATTTGTCCTTAGGTTCCAAATGGAGCATAGGGCTTGAACAGCACAGCTGTCCATCCTTTTCATCCTGTCCTCCTTAGTCCTCTTTAGCTTCTTGATTGTCTGTAAGTCCTGATCTCCTCCTCACATGATCTTTCCTATGTCAATCTTGAGCGCTCAACTCGTCGTCTCCTATTCGGATTCTAAACGAGGGCGTGCTTGGCGCATGATTCCATTCAATGATCTCCCTAATGTCTATCCTATCCATTCATTGCTGAGATTTATGTCAATATAACTTTTTACATATGTCTGCTTTTTACTCGGCTCCCAATGTTGGTGGGGAAGTCTTCGGTCAAATCTTGATCAGATTTCGTATGAATAACAGCGAGAGAATTTATGTATTATCTGACTACAATTTAAACTGTTATTTAAGAAACTTGGTGTGTCGGTGGCACAACGGTTAGGACGCTCGCCGACCATGCACATGGTCCGGGTTTTCTTTCCCTGGCCGGCGCATTCTTTTACCTCGCGAAGCCAAAAATAATGCTGGTAAAGAGGAGAGGTTGGGTATGAGGCTACCAACCCCATCCTGTAAAAAATAAACACTGCTACAGAAACTTCAATCCACTAGCTTGAAGCCGTATGTTCCACTGGGAACGTGAAGGAAAAAAAATTAAGAAACTTACTCAGTTTAATTATGAATTCCGAAGCTTCATCAGATCATCCTGCACACAGAGTGCTTCCGCTAATATCTTGTGCTCTCCTCCCAGATGGCTACTAGTCTTTACTGATAACATTTTATCATTTTAATCTCCCTAGTTATTTGTGGCTACTATCCATGAATATTTCCAATACTTAGGCCATCTGCAGCTTGAAACTTAATTAGTGGCGAAATTCACATCAACACTTATCTTCTGGCTTGAAGTGCATGTAACTTCCGATCATCAACTGAATCTCATAGTACAGCTGGTAAATGGATTAACGCCAGTTTTCGTTTCACTGTCAATCATGATTTCTTAGATGAGACTCTGAACGACATCACATTCTTGTCAGTTCTAGCAGAATGTCTTTATTACCAGGGAATAATCTAATGGACTTAGAATATGCAGATGACATAGTCCTGTTAGGGGAGGATGCTGACAAAATGCAGAGTCTTCTGAACACCTTGAGCTGCAATCTTCGTATGTTTGGCATGCGATTCGCCCCTGCAAAATGTAAGATGCTGCTACAGGACTGGACGACGTCAACCCCTAACTTAGTGATAGGGAGTGAAGTGATAGAACATGTTGACCACTTCACCTACTTGGGAAGTTGTATTAGCACCAACGGACTGATTGGCGATGAAATCTCAGCACGGATCCGAAAAGCTCGAGCTGCTTTCGCTGACCTACACCATCTCTGGCGTAGGCGTGACATCCGGTTATCAACCAAGGGACGTGTGTACTGCTCATCAGTTCGCTCCGTCCTTCTCTATGGCTCTGAAACATGGCCAATACGCGTTGAAGACATGAAAAGGTTGAGTGCTTTCGATCATAGATGTCTGCGATCTCTGTCTCACGTTAGGTGGTTTCACAAGGTAAGTAATGTTGACGTTAGGCGTAGAGTGTTGGGCAAAGAGGGAAAATCAATCGACGAGGTTATAAAGTTACATAGACTAAGATGGCTAGGTCACGTGGTGCGCATGCCTAACCACCGCCTCCCCCGACGGGCATTGTTAGCTGATATAGGTTCAGGTTGGAAAAGAGCCAGTGGTGGCCAAACAAAAACATGGCATCAATCCATGAAATCCTTGACAGTTAAACTGAGTCAGGTAGGGAGATGCAGACTCCCGGGTTGGGGCCCTCGGGACTCTAGGAATCAATGGCTGGAGACAATAGGTGACATGGCTCAAAATCGTTGTCAATGGCGCAGATGTATTCAATCTCTGTAATCTTTCATACTCCTTTCTACCATAACCCATTCTGCTTCACTCCTATATTTGTCAAACTCTATTAATTCTCTCCACTCATCTTCTTGTCTACCTCTGTGTGCTATTTGGAACGTGGCAACTCGAACTGCTGCACTTCGGTGCCAAGTTCTATGTTGAATCCAGACAGACAGACAGACAATTGCTCTAGTATGTTTGCGTGATTTGCAGTATGACAGAAGTAGAGCTTCCCTTATCATGCATTCATTTCAACAAACTTTTGTGTCCATAGTAAATGGAACTTTAAGGAACTGAATAGTTCAGCGATAGCACTACATGCAGTTACACACAACCACACAATAGGATGCATGGGATAGGATGACAGTTTTAAAATCTAATGTCACAGGGTATAGGGAGAGATTGATAACAGAAGCTTTGTTTATCAAATCAACTGCAAATACATGTAATAGGAATGATTCAACACTTGTCCACCCAGATATCTCGAAAATTCTACTACCCCAACGACGACAAATAGGAGAGAATAAAGAAAACTATAAAACTCAATTTTGAAGTCGTGTGATTATAATTGATATGACTATGAGCAATAATAAATTTTGTTCGAAACGTCATCCAGTAAATAATACAGTTTCACTGTGTGTGTGTGTGATACATCTAATAAACAAACTAATATGGAATGAATTACTACCACAGTGCCCAAGTTTTACACATATATAGGAACTGAACTGTGTCAGTTATTATTTATTCAGTTGAAGTAATGTGAAGGCTTAAGCTCTTGTTCAGGTCAGTGTAACAGCTTCAAGTCGGCTTATTGCTTTTTATATTATTTTGAATAAACTGAAAACAATAGCTTGCTCTGTTCAAATTTATAAAGGGGGCCAAATGTTTGTTGTTGTTTTGTTTTCGTCTTATACTTTTATAAATTCTTTTACACACCACACCGATAACAGAAATATGTTTATTGTAAATAGTTCAGTTGGTGGGTCCGACTGTTTATATTGAATCCAAGGTAGATTTCGTTATGAGACGATATTAATTAGATTGTCACTGAACACATCTGTTTTGTTCTTGTCCATGACCCCAGTATAATTCTAAACCACAACTTTAAGCTTACTTGGCGAGTATTTCATCACTTAAACACGTAGTTGTGATTCAATGTCATATAAGTTCTATCTTCTGTCAGTTGGTTATATATATAGTGTTACTTACTAATCCATTGTCGTCGTTGGCACCGACTGTCAGAGGATAGAATTCACTAGGCATTAGATTACAACTGAATGGTTGAAGGCTAGAAGTGGCCACCTCAATTTGTGAAGATCCCGGTTTCTTTGCATGATGGAATCAAATGAGTCTGTCTGTCTGTTTTTGACAAAGAACTTCGCATCGATGTGTATCAGTCGCCACACTCCCTTCATGTAGTACACAAATCAAAAGAAGAAATTAGAAGAAATGCATAATAGTGACAGCAAACAGATGTGTGAGACAAAGGAATAGTAATAACGAAGAACAATAGAGTTTCATTGGAAATCATAAGTCACAGGAAGTGGATGCATCTGCACCAGCCATTGAAAACAATTTTGAGCCATATCACCAGTTGTTTCCAACTATTGTTTTTTTGCCGTCCCGAGGACTCCAACCAGGAAGTCTACACTTTTCTACGTGGGTTAAACTAACTGTTGTGGATTTCAATGACTGATGAAGCCATGTTTTTGTTTGACCGCCGCTAGCTCTTTTCCAGCCTGACCCTATGTCAGGCGGGTATCATTGCCCGATGTCGAGGAAGGTGACGACTAGGGAGGCATACGTAACACATGTCCTAACCATCTCAGTCGATGTAGCTTCACAACCTCATCGATTGATTTCCCCTCCTTAACTAACACTCGACGGATGCCTAACCTCAATATTGCTCACTTTATAATACCACTTTACATGGGAGATAGAGCGCAGGCATCTATGGTCAAAGACAGCTAATCTTTTCATTTCTTCCACTCAATGGCTATGTCTCCCAGGCATAAATGAGGACGGAGCGGACTGATGAGCAGTACACCCACCCTCTGGTCGATAGCCAGCTGGATATCACGTCTAGTAAGCCAGAGCCGGCGTAAACTGGCATATGCGAAACTAGCCCTCTGTATCCGTGGTGAGATTTCGTCAGAGATCAACCCGTTGGCACTGGCTGATGATACTTCCCGAATAAGTGAAGTGGTCAAATGAGTGCAGTGCTGATGAGTTACGAACTAAGATAGAACGGCTCCCTGGTCGTCTATAGTTCCTCAACTGATAATGTCGTTTTGGTGATGGAATCTATCTTAAAGCCGGTTAATTCCCCTTATATATTTTTAGAATTACGCCTTTTTTGTAATGGCATTACCCCAGGTTGTACAAATAACACTATGAAGTAGTAGTAATGCTAATATTGAAACTAATTTTGCATTGATTTTATTTATTTACTGCTTCTCTTTTGCATTTTTTAAAAATTTTTCTAAAGGAATGTGCGTTGAAGCCATGTGTAATACAACATCTAAACAGCCAATTTCTATAATTCATACATGTCTACGTTGTATTCTATGCCTGTTAAGTCGATCGAAATTTCGTGCTTATCTTATGCAATCATCAACAGAAATATCTATTGAACTGTTACAAGTACTACACAGGTAAGAAGTGGTCACCTGATATAACATGTGAATGAAGCTAAATAATACATATTATATGTGCTATGGAATATACAGTCAACAGGAACAGATTAAGAGGAAGAGAGTAACTAGAACTGTAAACTTTTCTTTTGTGTAACTATGAGTTAGGCAGGTCCGTCCACTGATTTGTGACTAAATCATCGACGTATATAGTGATATGGTTCATATCATATTTGTCGTTATGACTTTGTTTTTCATTTTTTTTGCGTTCCGAGGGGAGTATATAGCTTCAAGCTCCAAAGGTTCACTGATGGTTGTGTGGTTTTTATGGGGTAGAAGTGCTATCCTTTCACCCAACCTTCCCTCTTACTCTAGCTTATTGTTGACTAATAAATTAAGCCAAGTTTAGGAATTCGTCGGTCGGAAATCGAACCTGGAGCGTGTGCGTGGTGGAACCACTGATATATGTCAGTGTGACTAACCTCGATCTATAAATAAACTCAAATTGATGGTGAGAATATTTGGGTTAGCCTTGAATTAGGGGACTATTATTAACTTAATGGTTAATGATTCAAGGTGAGATGGAAATCTGGCGCCTACAGGATTCGAAATCAGTAACATCCAGATTAGTAAAATTTATATATTAGAGTGGTGTGGCCGAATCGCTAACTAATATGCTCTCGAATTCACACTTTATATTAAATGTTTGAGTTCAGACATAATAATATACAATCTGTGTAAACTCTGGCGTTTAACAGTTAGATTTGACTCAAAGTCAGAAACATGAAAAGACATCTAATAGTTCCATTATTGTTGATATTAGGTGGTTGGAGACAATTAGCAGGAAGACTTGCTCGACCTAGGTTGGTACTCACCAGTCAGTAAGGCGTCTCTGCAACCTTGGAATAACTCATGCCTCTTCTGAGATTCAAACCCATATCACTCAGTGAGTATTGCAGTCGGAGACGTTACCACTGAGCTATTCGGTCTCTCAATCGACCACCTGTGGGACTGTATTGGTTACTTTGATTGGACATTAGTTGGTAACTAGTGTAATGTGTGTAGTCCTCTGATTGGTGCAGACTGAATTCTATCAGTCAGGTTGTAGTGTGGCCACCAATTTAGGTGGCTTGCCATCGCGGTGCACTTTGAATTGTTGATATTAGAAACTTTTACTCAAGGTGTCACACAAAATCGAAGACTTACAAGCGAAAACCGACAAACTGGTCGAAGAAGCAGTCGGGGAAGACAGGACTCCAAGTGGACATAGACAAGACGGAAGTTATGAAAATAACCAACCAACAACAGCAGCAACATCCAGTGCCAATCACCATCAACGGGAGGGATTTGAAAGAGGTGACTTCATTCACTTATCTAGCACTGAGCATTGTCTCAACTACAGCCAGTCAGTACGGACGAGGATGTCAAATCGAGCTAGAATCGGGAAGGCGAGAAACACACACACATTCATCAACCTGAAACCAATATGGAAATCTTCGTCACTCAACCAGAATCAACAACAAAATTCGGTTGGATTTTCAATACAAACGTCAAGTCAGTCAGTTCTTCTATACGGACTGGATCAGAAACTTGGAGGGTGGGCGGGTCACAAAGAATATTTCCAACAGCCTGTTACAGACCATTATCAACCAACAACTGTCTTCGCTGAATCTATACTGAAGATCAGATGGCCGGGCCGTAAAGAATCACCAACAAGAAACTCTGACTGGGGACAAACAAAACAAGAACCAATCGCCAATCAACAAATATTCAGGAGAAAGTGGATGGAGATGGATTAGACACTCGCTGAGGAGACCGCTGGGTGGCATCGCGCGTCAAGCCTTCGAGTGGAACCCGAAAAGGAAGCGGCGAGTGGGATGTCAGTGCAAGGGTGACATGGAGGAGATCGTGTGAAGAGGAGCTGAATGAGTATGGACTGAGATGGATGCAGGTGAAAAGTACAGCAGAAGGAAGACAGAAGTGGCAAGTGGAGATGTGCAGTTGAAGCCCTATGTTCCACTAGGAACCCAAGGGAACAATAATAATAATACTCAAGGCTTTTTGCCGATTGCCTTCAACCATCTAATATCAACAATTCAAAGTGCACCGCGATGGCGAGCCACCTATAATGGTGGCCACGTTCCGAACTTGACTGATAGAATTCATTCTGCACTAAACAAATAACTAGACACAATACACTAGTTACTGACTAGCGTTCAATCACTTATTCCTCGGTGTGCCGAGTGGAATATTTAACTCCAGGCATCAATTTTAAAGTTTCAATATCACTTGTGTTGTCTTTACGAGGTGAGGTTGCTAGCCTCATGCTCAACCTCCCCTCTTTTTCGGGCTTACTACCGGCTAAGCGAGGTTGAAGGGTGTGTCAGCCGAGTATTGAATCCTCAACCATGTGCGCGTGACTGACAGGCATTCCGCCTTTGAATCACTATCGTCACTAAGCGTTACTATACTACCATGTTTGACCACTCATTTAGGAAACTCAATCCTGCAGTTTTCTTTAAAACACATCCACAAACTCATGAAGTTATATAATAATCATAAGGTGAAGCCTTATGAATAGTCGAGGTCAATAATTGCATTTCTGTGTTTGTAACTGAAGTGATTCACTCATGTGTGACATTCTTTCATATGAGATATTATCAGCCTCACCTTATTGTATTGGCCATTTTTACTACAATACCCTTGAACTACTGTTGAATATCTGTTACATCACAGTTTATCGACTGGACTTTTCTTTCGAAGGCCGATGATGCTACCCGCTTTCCCAAGCTGAAGTAGGTGAAGCAGGACTCGAACCCGGGATCCGTTGAGTGCTTAAGCCAATTAGCCATTGATTGACTAGTACTCAGGTTGAAATTGACTGACTAACAACTGATTAAGTAATTAACATTATCAGCTTACTTTCGCCTATCTTTTAAATGCAATCAAAGTTGTTATAAAAGCTACCTTACTGGCATAATAATAATAATAATGATAATAATTTGCTTTATTCCAAAACAGTACTTGTGATACAGAATGGAATTCTCAACATTTTACTGCAGTATTGCATCCAGTTAGTACATGAACTATAACTAAAATTCTACATAGATTAGGGGTAATCTCGGTTAGTTTGACAACATATTAGCATGCCGATAGCAAAGCCAAGATTGAACAGTGTTAGAAGGTGTTAGATAAGTAGATACTAGCATATTTACTAGGGTAAGCGGTAACATAAAGGTCGAGATATACGGAGTGTGAAAGAACGAAGACAAATGTTTTAAATAGAGTTTGTAAGGAAGAAAGGAACAAAGGAGCACATAACAGAAGAAAAAGAGAGAGAAAAGGAAAAGAAAGAAAAAACTTTGTGCTTATAAATAATATGAATTGGAAAGACGAGATCCAGTTGTTCTACTGACTATTTAGTAAGTTATAGGTATCACACCTAATGCTTTCTTCATCGCACAGAACACGAGCTAAGTATGGGATGGTTGAGTTTTTGTACATACTAGTGCGAGCATACAGTTTTCTATATAGGCTTCTGGTCCTGTCTGATGAGATACACAGGGAGAGTTGTGAATGAAGAGGGTGGTGTGAGTTAGACAAAATGGATTGAGCCCATTTTTCACATTTCATACTTCATGTATATGTCTTGCTTCTAGCTGAAGTAGTACTTACGAACAAAGCCGAAATGAAATAAATTATATTGTTAATAATGTCATATAAAATTACTTAAAATATTCCCGGCATGTACTGAAAATCAAAACAAGATGTTTTCTTTACATTTTGCTATGCAAGTCATAGCTTCTTTCTTTAAGGAGAATTACTTCGACTTTATGAATACGAATATTGAGAAGGGATAGATTGATCATCTATCTGGCGGCAGACTATAATATATTAAAAGTCAATCTGAACGATGAATATTCTCTCTTCAGGTTCTTGCCATTACATAGCATAATATTTATCGTTACAGTTGATGGCCAGTTATGTGGTGGATACACTTTTATGTTATTTATTTGAATGCGGAAAGAAACTTGGTACAATATGGCACCAAGAAAGATGCACCACACAATTTGTGAGGGCTGAGATACTGCCCGGGCGCCCAGACCGAAGCAGGTGGTTCTCTTAAGTGACCACCTCCGAGTCTTTGACTTGGAGTCTAATCCTCAAGGCAGCGGAGCAGCGTCAGGAGCTGCATTCCCATGGTTGCCTGTGACCCATATGGGTTCATACGCCATTTGATCGCATTGGATTCTGGAGCCCATGTACCCCATGGTAACTGCTTTTAGTCTAACCGCTATCCAAACAACCTTCCTGAAATGGTAGGACCTGCAGGGACATGAGTCCCAGCCAGTTTAGCTTGTTGGGTCACTGCGGTATTCAAGCCTGACCACCACGGCAACGTAGCAGTTGCCGGCTGGGACACTTTTATGTAGATATTAGGTATAAGGGGACAAAATAATTAGTATTTGTCTGACAAACATGCTAGGTTGAATTCAGTTACGAAATATTGTCAAGTGGTAGACGATGATGGGGATTAGTCATTATAAATTCATACAACGTGGAGAAGAAATATTGACAAGTAAGTTCAAAGTTATCAAAGGTGTCAGTTAGTCTAAAGTATTATGCATTAAAGAGGAGATAGTATGACTGCAGTAAAAAGTTCATTGCGTCTTAATTAATCTGCAAAATGAAACATGAGGAGGTATATATTGAGAAAAGAAATAATATCCCTAATAATAAGTGAGAATAAATAGAAAATCCGATAGTACTGAAAGTATACTAGAATAGAGGGTATAAATTATAATAAATAATAATTATAAGTAAAAAAGGAAAGAAAAAAAGGATAAAAGGAAGATTTACTCTTGGAGAGGAGAAGAAATTTTAATGCAAATTCAGTCACGTGTTAGGGGAATAGCGCCTGAATGTGTTCAATTTTGATGAATACAAAGTTCCAGTTTACTCGATCTTATTCGAACAGTTTTAGTTACGTGTAGAAGACTGTACGCGATAATAACTTTGGAATATAGAGTATATGACCATGCGAGGCTGTGTTGGAGTTGATATGATTACTGTCCTGTGTCGACCAGATTTGATACTTAGACTGTAGTGAAATAAAACATATAACATATATATACTCGTTAATATTCCCTTAACCTTTGAACAATCATCATGACTATTACTTATGAATGAATATACGTATTCTCCATACAAAAAACAGTACATGCACACATGCACATACAGACAGATATACACACATATCGTAATTTAACAATGACAACTTGACAATATATAATGATTAATTACGTTTATTTAATTAGTACAAATATTTACCAATCTGTGACCTTCTAAGAAAGTTCATTTTAATTTATGTACTATTTAACTGTGTATTTTAATGTTTGATTAGATTTGAGTAATTCCTCTGATGTAACTGTGGCTTACGCAGCACAACTTTCAGAAGAATCTTGTTTTAATTTTCTAAACATACTGGAATTATTTACTGAAATTTAGATTTTCCTGTCGATTGATTGAACCAAAGTGCTAGGTTTCAAGTTGACTTGTCGACCTCTTTTGGAGATGCTTCGACGATGCCTGGGCATATAATTAGAATTTAATTGGTGGATGGTGACTAGCAGTGGAATCTAAGATGCGCATTTCGTCCTATTTAGGACTCGTCAACTGGGTGTATCTGATGGCGAATCCCAAATAGGACGAAATGCGCATCCTAGATTCTACTGCTAGTCACCATACAACAATTAAATACTGGAATTATTTTAAATATTTTTTTAATGGTTCATTCTGACTCGCAAACATCTATGGTCGGCATATTTTAACCGTTTATAAATGAAATTACTGTGTGCCGATCGACCTGAACACACCCCTGTACAATGTTCAAATCGTACCAAGCTGCTTGATAAGAGTTGATGACTTATCTTGATGGTTAAAAATACAACTGTATGCAAATACCGAGGCGAAGACCACTAAAGAAAAGCATTAGCATTTCAACTCGGCTGACTGATTGACCGAGTTCCTAGCATAGAACTTTGCACAGAAGTGCAGCATCTTAAGTTGCCAAACTCCATATATTACACAAAGCTAGGGAAAAATTCGAAACAACTATAGTGAACGGAAATATACGGGCGAAACATGATGATTTAACGTGTCCTGAATATAACAAAGAGTGAATGCATCCTGTTCCGTTGATAACGATTTTAAACTATATCACCAATAGTCTGAGGCCATTGATCCTTACCATCTTCAACTTAAATAATGTGGAGTGTATACACATTAGGTTTCTGTGAGTTAGGTAGTTAGTTAAAGGAATAAATCTCTTCTTCCTTGTGTTGTATTGTGTTGTCAAGGCCACGTATTGGGAGGTATTGGCAGTGCAAGGTTGTTCTCTTTATTAGCTAGCCAAAGATATCCCATACATTTGACTGTTAACATATCGTTAGCTAATAAATCAAACTGCCTTACTTTTTTCTAATACCGTTGAACTCCTGTTTCAATATTGATTAGCTGAGTAATAACGCATATAAGAGATAGTTTTAAGTCTTCAGGATGATTCTAATGTAACTGTATGGATATCACACTGTGATTATAAGAATGTAGGGAAGTTTTGATTCACTAGTCAAGAGGCTCCATTACCCAATACCGGGCACTAGGTGGGTTCAAACCTAGCTCTATCTACCAAGATTTAAGCCGCTAGACAGTATCTTTCAGCTTCATAAAATAATCGTGCCTGATTCCCAACAGTTTGGAAATTCATCTGGACCGTTGGGTCCTTCATTTCTTGGCATTTGTAATCGCGTAACCCATAGGTCACCAACATCACTGTTCATATATTACTATTACCATTGTATTGTTTTCATGTATGTTTATTTATTACTTCTTTGCTTTTCTTTCAAATTCTTCATAACACAATGAATGAATGAATCGATCAATCAAATAATGGATCATGTTAGACTTTTATTGACACGAGATTGTATTGAAACGCATTTATTATGCCTAGCCAATATGATTCATATACTGATAGCAGCTAATGAACGTTTAACCAAAGAACGTGATGATTGGTTAACTAAAGGTAAGAATAATTGATTTTTTTCTTCTGATATTTTATTTTAAAATAAGGATTCCAAAGGTGGTTCTAGATGAGGATTACCTGTTTGGTATTGATTTATAAGGATGAAAATAATAAAAAAACGTGTAGTGCATTCATTAGCGCCTCAGTGGGTCAGTGTGTAAGCACTTCAAGTGAATTCCGAATTCAATTATTTTCCCTCAATCCCTTTGGTTTCACTGAGCCATAAAAATTTCAGTAGACACCTAGGTGTTTTTGACTCTAAACTCCAGTTTATTAGATATATGTATCATATATGGTATACGTTTCCAATACATGAAGCTTGACTAGGTCACTGGTGAAATAAATTAATCTGATTGGTTGTTTGTAAGGTCAAAGATTGTCCAATCAAACTATCATGTGCACATGACAGTGTATAAATTGAATTGCAAAATCTCCTACTTCTGAAGCCAGTGGAATAAAATATTGATTATAGTTTTGTTGTATAATTACTCTGAGATTATTATTTTCACCAGTCTTTATTTCCCTTATTTGTGACTGACTGAATCCTAGTAACAACTTGAATAAGCTGCACACCATTTGCCCTACTGATAACCTTCAATGCCCTTCTCAAAATGACATTGTCCTTATTGAGTAGCCCAGGAAAGACTAAGGGGGAGTGGTAAATTACAATAAGTAAGATACAAGAGCTTATTAATTGTAAAAGCAGAGGTTGAATAATTCCAGATTGTTTTAGCTACTTAAGGTAGCAACTTAGGCGGAACATTTTCTTGGAGATCGATAAAATATGACATGACCAAGTAAGGTCATGGGATAGAACTATACCAAGATATTTTGTGTTATACGTAGTTTCTATTTTAGTCTCCTCTATTCTACAAACATCATGTGTACTAACCAGTCGTTGTAGATCACGCTTATTTCTAAAGGAGAAGTCAATAGTCTGGCATTTTGAGGGATTTAACGTAAGACCATATCTTATAACATTTTGAGCCACGGATTCGAATTATCTCTCTGATCCCAACCAAGGTGTACCAACTGGTGATAACCTAATACAAATATTCTTTATCTCTAAGCATTGCGTCATAGACTGACGACCTCTTCACTTTTTCTATCCAGAGCTAAGGAACAGCCACTAGTATAGACGGGATTTGTATCTATCTACAGATATCAATAATCTGAGATAGTTATTCGGTTTTGTGTAATAGGGAATTAGTTGACATTACAGGTAATTGATTATAAGGTAAGTATTTGTCTGCCAGTCTGTAAACAAAGTGCTGATTGAAGTTGAAACAGTAGCTTTAGACTGTAGTTGGATTTAAAACACAAGTCTTTGGAGTATAGCTTTCAGTTAGCATTGTATCTCAGAATCTGTTGTACTATGTTATGTAAAATTTCCATCGGTACTTAGATTTCAGGTGACTAGTTGAGTGTAAGCAGAAAAGCGTTCACTAGCAGCACTCGACAGCGATTGCTTTCTGTGTTACAAATTAGCAGAAGCTGGGAGGCAGTGTTCACTAAATTACAACCCAATAATTCGTGGGTAACATGGAATTCATTTCATAAGCGGATAGTCAATCCTAGGCTCAACTTGTTGTGATATATAATAGATGTACGCCTTTTGGAAGTTGCAAACTATGGTGAAAGAGTTGTCTGTCTAGTCCTCTTCGGTTTTCAGTTTTCTTTCTGTAGTGATCTTTACTACCACCTTGAATTTAATTCATAAGTGAGGATGGATTTCCGGCCGATGACACTAGTTGGTAGTTGGGCTAAAATTACGAATTGGCAGAAGTTAGAATTCATGGATTGGCCATTGAATCGGACTTAGTGGTCGAAGAGCTTGCCTTGTAACCGGAAAGTCCTGAGTTCGAACCCCCTCGTGGTGGTTGTGTACTGCTGATGATTCCCAAACTAGGGTGAAACAGCTGGCCGCCCAGTACTCCCTGTTGGTTTCCAATGATTCGCTAACTGATATCAGTCTGTGGTCAAACTCGAAAAACAAATCTAATCTTTACAAAAACAACATGATTATAAGCTTAAATTTTTGGGAATAAACAGACATTTACGTTAACTATAGTTTAAGTAACATTCCATTCTTGCCCTGATAATAAGTAACCATTGTTAATTTGTGGGCGTTACGAAGTTTTGGGATAAATATGGCTTGACAAAATTTTAAAAAATGTTAAAATTTCCATTTTAGACGAGTTAATTGATTTTATTGTTGTGATATTATGAAACCTATATGCATTGAATTAATTCCCTAATGTGATTATACACACTGGAATTGTTTCCACCCTATGTACTACTGATTGACTGACTGATAGTAGTGTAACAACAGAAGACAAGGGTCAGGCAACAGATCGTTTATTTAGGAAATCAACACATATTTATAGATTTTCTTATACACTATTATAGATTATTGTAAGCAAACAAACACCGTCTTCTGATTGGTGGTGGTTTCTCGCTGAACGTTAATCTTTCATCTCTTTCAAGTTCAGATTGTCTATGTGCAAATTGTATCCGCCTACGCAAAGTCTGCTGTGACTGGTTGTTGAATCAGTCTTTGTTCTCACGACCAATATTGGGGACGTAAACATTGACATAAATTACTGTCTACCAATTTTCGGTTAGCAGCCAGCTCTCACCACACTCATCCCCCCGTCAAAGACTTGCGACTGAAGTTGGTTTCGGTCTTCTTGGTTCTAGGGGCTTTGTTCGTTTGTCTTGTTGTCTGGAATCTTGGCGCTCGCTGATATTCACCTGTTTCTCTTTGTTTACTGTTGCGATTTTGTCTGCGTAACCCCATCTCAACTTGAAGATATGTCGTCCTCCTCATTTTGGAAACTGTTTGCCTGACCCTGTCGCACATTCCTCGGTATTTCACCTCACACTTTCATATGCTGCTTTCGCCCGACCTCCCAGCAGCGTCCCAAGTAGCAGCCTCATCGCTGACAGATCTTGAACGCCAATCAGCTGCACAGAAGCCTCAAATTCCTGCCCGAAGATCCTTATGTCTCCATCAGAAATTGAAGGGCATAAGCTTTCCATTTGTCGGTAGGCAACGACACCAAATGTAACACCACACTAGTAGTTGGTAGCACTGACATCAACAAGTAGTGCTTGTTAGCCACATCGAAGTTATCTAAACACCAGACGGCCATTTCACATTCACTTACGGCTGAGATCATCAGCGGCGTAACTGGTTTGAGTCAGCTCAATTACCTGATCTAGTTAGCAAGCACTACTGGTTGGAATGAGTCGTAATCTAACTACTCATGCCACTCAATCAGTAGTATATATGGAGTAGTGCATTTATTGTTGCCTTCTTGATTGCCGCTTATGGTATCATACAAATCACGTATTGTGTGCCATCTGAATGGTTTTAGTTTCCTAAAGAAACTTTAGTGAAATTTTACCACCTGGATCTGTGTAAATGGAAAATCGCGAATTAATTTACGAAACTAAGAGTTTCATTTAATGGCACTGTTTTCGTTTTTCAGTGAAGTTTAATCTCTTGTATATTGATAAAAGCTAGTCAGTCATTGAAAGTTAAGAACTATTCAATAATAAGATGGACTGTCGTACTCTCAACGCATCTTACTACGGTGTTACATCCATCACCTGCTGCTTTTTACAACAGTCAGGATTATTACTGACAGTTAGATATTCATATTCAATTACGCTTAGATTGAAGTGGAGTGAGATCAGTTCATTTGTAGACTTCATTGCTAGCTGACAACACAGAGAATTATTGAAAACTGAAGGGCGCTGGACACTTATTCCCTCCCAGTTTGGGACTCTTCATCAATATGCGCCCATGAAACCAGTGGGGGTTGAACGCATAACCCTCGGGTTCAAAGTAGAGCTTGCTGACCAGTTAGCAACTTTCATGGAATCCTACGGTCCATCAATTCTAACTTCAGTCGATTTTTGACTGATTGACTGACTGGTTTCAACATAGAACTTTGCGCCGATGTGCAGCAGTTCAAGTCGCTACACTTCACTCAGCACATAGAGCCAGAGAAGAAGAAAGTAAAAAAGAAATGCAAAATAGAGACAGTGAAGATAAATATGAGGCAAAAGGAATAGTACTATCGAAGAACAATATAGTTTTGTTGGAAATTGTAAGTCAGAAGGAGTGGATGCATCTGCGAGTCGATCTGTGATTTTTAGCTTCAATGTCATTGGCTAGAATTCGTGGAACGGTGTCAGGGTGCCTGTCCGAAAGTTTGTGGAAACCCTTGCTATTAAGCAGTTTAAACTAACAATTAACTATTCGCAAACATTTCATCACTATGTCAAACCTTTCTTGGTAAATTTCGTCTAGAAACCAAAACCAGTGTACTGTTTCTCTATCTACCCTCCTCTATCTTTTTTCTCTTGTTTATTGATCTTCATTGATATTTTGACCTATATCAAAACTGCTTTATTTGGCCTTTATTTAATTCTCTCACCCAACCCCCCTTAACACATTGCTACATTTTGCCGTGTAAACTTTTATGATAAGTACGTGTATGATTTAGATTGTTCGAAATGCGTTGAAGATAGATAGATAGATAAATAGATATTTATTCTAAACTGCCTAAGGGGAATTAATTCTAAAATTTCTAAATGTTAGTTTGTACAGATATAACTGGCTTGGTCACGGATTGTTTCGTCCCAAATCTGGGACTCCTCAACGGCACACGCCCATGATCCCAGTGGCGATCGAATCCCTGACCTTCAGATTACGAGACAAACTGGTTGACTATTTAGCCAATGAGTTGGAATCCAATGACCCATGAATTCTCACTTCTGTCAGCTCACGCGATATAAATACTGCCAAGTAGTTCCATTGGTACGCATCCTCGTCACACTGGCATAGTGAATCACATTGGCCATGACTTCTTGATTTAAAATAATTCTTTAACAAATATTAGTTTATGACAAAATCTACACTAAAATGATTTATTAATCAACCTACAGTATCTAAAAATCAATTTCCTCCTTGTAATCACCTGATGATGTTTCAGTTCATCGCTACAATGTATGATTATTTATAATGTTGACATATTGGGTTTCTAAAGTGTCATGGATTGATTCCTTTAAGGTGGCATATGAATGACAAGGAAATCAACTAATTATTGATTTTTCTCTTCACTGATAAGTTGACAATATCAATATTCTTTAATTTTTAAAGAATATCTTTAGAAAGAAGTTTTTCTCAGATAGATTATTATAAATGCTTAAAACTGTGTAAGTATTTTATTTTTGAACATCTGGTTTTATTTATTCATTTTGTTTTAACGTGTTCCATTCTAGGGTAATGGTATTTTTTGAAAGAAAGTTGATTTTTTTTGTTTTCGTAAAAGGCATGCACTGATATACCACTAGGCAGTAATGGCTAGTTCTTTGGTGTTTGTTCTAACTGTCTGTCTGTCTGTTTTCGACATAGAACTTTGCACAAATGTGCGGAAGTTCAAGTCGCCACATTCCGTGTAGCACGCGAAGCAAGAGAAGAAAGTACAAGAAAAGCATAATAGAAACAGTGAGCAGAGGTGTGAGACAAAGGAAGAGTAGTAACGAAGATCAAAACAGTTTCATTGGAAATCATTAATCACAAGGAGTGGATGCATCTGCGCTAGCCATTGAGAACGATTTTGAGCCATGTCACCAATTGTTTCCAACCATAGATTTTTACCGTCCCGAGGACCCCAGCCTGGAAGTCTACACCTTCCTACGTGGCTTAGACCAACTGTTGTGGATTTCATTGACTGGTGAGGCCAAGTTTTTGTTTGACCGCCGCTAGCTTTTTTCCAGCCTGACCCTATATCCGCTAACATTGCTCGTCGAGGGAGGCGATGACTTGGCATACGTAACACATGTCCTAACCATCTCAGTCTTTGTAGCTTCACGACTTCGTCGATTGATTTCCCCTGTTTACCTAGAACTCTACGCCTAACCTCCATGTTGCTCACCTTATTATGCCACTTTACACGGGAAATAGAACGCAGGCACCTATGATCAAAGGCAGCTAGTCTTTTCATGTCTTCCACTCTCAGTGGCCAGGTCTCACAACCATAAAGGAGGACGGAGCGGACTGATGGGCAGTACACCCGCCCTTTGGTCGATAGTCGAACATCTCGTCTACGCCAGAGTCGGCGTAAACTAACAAATGCGAAACGAGCCCCTTGTATTCGTGCTGAGATTTCGTCAGAGATCAGCCCGTTGGGGCTGATGGTACTTCCGAAATAAGTGAAGCGGTCAACGTGCTCTACCACTTCACTTCCTATTTTTAAACTAGGCGTCGATGTAGTCCAGTCCTGTAACATCATCTTGCATTTGGCGGGAGCGAATCGCATGCCAAACATTCGTAGATTGCTGTTCAAGGTGTTTAGAAGACTCTGCATTTTTTCAGCGTCCTCGCCTAGAAGGACTATATCGTCTGCATATTCCAAGTCAACGAGATTATTCCCAGGTAGCAAGTCAATCCCTGAATCGCTGAAGTCACTTAGGGTTAAGTCCATTAACACATCTATGATGAAGTTGAATAGAAAAGGAGATAATGGGCATCCTTGACGGACACCACTGGTCGTCATCAGTTCAGATGACAGCTCGCCGTAAGCCCTCACCTGGCTGTATGAGTACGAGTAGAGTGCCTTAATCAGTGCAATATATTTTCTTGGAATTCCCTTTACAGCCAAGCATCTCCAGAGAACTTCCCGATCGACAGAGTCGAATGCTGCCTTTAGGTCAAGAAATATAATGACTGTTGGACGCCGGTAGGAATGCCTATGTTCTAGAATCTGTCGGAGGGTGAAGATATGATCTAACTGAATCCTATCAGTCACCAGACTAGGTGAATCGTCATCACAGTGCACCTCAGAGTGATGTTAGATGATTAGAGGCATTTTAAATGGAGCCCTAGATTCTCCTCAGGAAGACGTATCTCTTCTGTCACCTTTAGTGGAACTGATGTTCCCATGGAGATTCGAACATACTGCACACAGTGCTCTTGTCAGGGAGATAAAACCAGTGAACTATTCAGGCACAAAATTGTCCTTCTTTTAAACTGTAATGGATCCTGACTAATGCCTTCACGTAGTGGTCGATTTGGCATACAATAGTGACCCAGAGAGTGACACTGAGTGGAACTAATGTTCTCACAGGTTCTACTATACCAGAAAGTTCATTTAAAAATAGCGATTAGAGTAAAAGCACTTATTATCCATAGTGTAAGTTGCATACGCTATATCTCACGTCTGAAAGCAAATTCGTACTACCAACAGTAATGTTTTTCTATCAGATGACCAACAATCCGGTGATGCAGCCTCTTCGCTCTGAAGAGGGGGATAGAACAGGTCGATCCCGAAAATTGTACATGCCGACTCAGTTTGTGGTGATTCGTAGTTGGGGGGGGGGTGATCTTAATACGAAGACAACTCTACTGACCGCCTTATACAGCCCCTGTACGGCGGGCAGTTGTTTCCTGGGCTCTACAGGTACAAAAGTCTAATGCTGCTTATGTTTCATGTACTACAAGTCGCAGTCAGTTAGATTATAGTGGATGCATGCAATAGGGTATAAGTGGTGTCAGCGGTGTCTTCACTCCTCTTTAACTTTTATAATTGATAGTAGTATGGCATTTTAACACTGTGACCGATCTACAATTCCATATTGAATAAATTCATTTAAGGATTTCATCATGAACTGACATTGCTTAGAGGATCATTGGAAAACCTTGGAGTACTGGGAGTACCTGTGTTATAGTGGGAAGTCGTGGCCAGTGGGGTACAGCAGGTTGGGTGTGAGGACAAATACTCTCCGAAGACATTGGTTAGTGATCGCGCTTTGTCATGAGTTGGAAGAAGTTAGAATTCATGGGTTGGCCATCGAGCCCACGCCGACTCACACCTGATATCTATGGTCGGCCTGCGAATTTTGGGCTACCGATATCCACGCTGAAAATTCCATACTTGTACCAAAAATACAGTGTGGAATCAAGCTGTAATCAAAAATATAAAAATAAATATAAAAAATATGAATCGGGCCCAGTGGCTTAATAGTCTACCAGCTCCCCTTGTAACCAGAAGGTCCTGGGTTCGAGCCCTCTGTGGTGGGTGTGTACTGCGGAAGAGTCCTAAACTAGGCTGAAGAAATAGATATCCAGAACTCTCAGGTTTTCCAATGGTTCTCTAACCAATGTCAGCTCATGATGAAATCCTGAAACTAGTCAAATCCCTGCAAACCAACGCTTGGAAATTCATTTGTTATAATTCGTTGTGATGCAGTGCTGTTAACGGAAAGATGTTCTGAGGGCAACTTATTGCTGCATAATCTGGCCTGGGTGGAGGAGTTGTGTGTGCATATCTGTAGCTTTTCGTCTGACTCCACAGGAATTTCTGTAGTTGACCTAAAGTAGACAGTGAATAATATAAATATCAGGGTCCTCGTTTTCGAATCTTTTCAACCGCTATTTTATTCATCCATTTTTATCGGTAATAATTGCACTGAGACTGAAATACTCTATAGCGCCATAGTATATCATAGTTTGTTATTATACACACTGATAACTTCGTTTGTATGTGTTGTGTTTTTTTTTTTTGTATTTTAATGTTATAGAATCAACACAAAATAATAATGCTACAAGTATGTTCATTTCACCAGAATTAAAAACATCAAAAAAGAATAATTGTATGACATCGAGTATCATGCTACAAACAACCGGTTTGATTGATACACAAATGTATGAACATGGAGAAGGTGGATATTTAGCTAAATTTTTTGATCGGATTAATGATGCTGATAATGTCGACTGTGACAGCAACAACAATAATAATAATAACAGCAACAATACTACAATATCTACTGAGAATCAAATGATGAATACATCAAATATATATGGGAAAACATTTGCTGGCCTACATCCTGAACGATCGATTGTATTCACGTGTTTAGAGATTGTTGTCTGTATAGTGGCACGTTATCAACCACAAATTATTAAACAATTACGTCTTTCAAATACAGATAGCAATAATAATAGTAATAATGAGTCAAAAAGTAAGTTTTGGGGTTTTTACTTGATCAATGTATTTTAATATTTTTTGTATTTTCGAGTGTTAGTTTCAAGTTCGATCGCAGATTGATATCATTTAGACAACGATTGGAACTCAGGGAGGGAGTACCTAACAGGTGTTTCGTCCTGGTTCCGAACTCTTCAGCAGCACACAGCGAACCCCAGGACCTTTCAAGCTATGAGAGGCGGTTTCGTTATCCATTTAGTCACTCGGACGAAATCCAATGACTTATGAATTTTAATTCCTGATGATTAGTGATTAATGGCGTCATCGCCAGCCGCCTGAAGGCCCTGTAGTCATGGGTGCACGCTTCTGAGGAGTTCCGAAGTAGGATGAAACAGTTGTCTGGTGCACTCTGCTTTTTAATACTTCTCTAACTGATATCAATTCGTTATCAGTTGTGTTTTTTTCATAAAAGCATTCATTTAATTCTTACCAGTTATTCAAGTGATGGTTTGTAGGGATTTGATTGATTTCAGGATTTCATCATGAGCTGACATTAGTTACCTTTCTTTCGATATTTCTGTTCACCTCAGTGTAGAAATGCTCGGCTAGTAAAAGAATAGGTACTAGACTCATTGTCTCTTTATTTCGCGTCTTGGATGCGTTCTTCGTCTTATTTGGGACTCGTTAGTTGGATGCGCATACATTTCCGGTGAATGTTGCTGTCCCCACTAGGAATAGGACCGAACAACTATAATAATAATAATAATAATAATAATAATAATAATAATAATAATAATAGCTTTATTCCAAAAACAGTACTCATGATACAGCAAGGAATTTTCAGCATTCAGTACAATATTGCATCTAATTTACCCAAAAACGACAAAAAAAATTAAAAATACACAATACATAATAGTAATAAAACGATTGTTGTAGCAGCTACGTAGCAAAATACTGTGTGCCATACGGAGAAAAATATGTATAAAGTACAAAATTGTAGTAATAATAGTAATACCAACTAATATAAAATAGCAGAGTAACGATTTAAACGATAGAAAGTGTAACACCATAAAATACAGAAAGATGAACGATAAAAGGGTCGATTCACTGTGCTAATTACATAGTAACTTGTAAGTTTCACGTCTAACAGAGTCTTCGTCACATAAAGTACGCGCTAAATAGGGTATTGTAGAATTTCTATACTTAGTAGTACGAGCATATATCTTTTTATATTGACTTCTCGTCCTACCTGATGAGATACAAGGGGACAGGTGTGAATAAAGGGGGTGCAGAGGGTCTGACATTATAGCCTTTGCCCATTTCGTACAGGAATTTATATGCCTCTCGACTATAGTATTAGCGAGCTCATGCAGTGGCAGACCACAAGCTCTACTCACAGCATTTAATACTCTTCGTAATATGATATAATCTTTTTTGAGCAGCCCAGGAAAGATTAATGGAGAGCAGTAGAGTACAATAGGTAAAATACAGGAGTTTAAAAATTGCAAAACTAAAGGTTGGTTGATACCTGATTGTCTTAACTTTTTAATGTAGAAGGTAAGACGAAACATTTTCTTAGAGATAGATAAGATATGGGATGACCATGAAAGGTCAGAGGAAAAAACTAGTCCAAGGTATTTAATACTTGATTTGGTTTCAATTTCCGTGCCATCTATGCTACAGGGATCATGAGAGTTAACTAGTTCAAGTAAGTCACGTCGATGCTTGAAAGTAAAGTCAAGCACCTGACATTTGGAAGGATTTAATATAAGACCATTTGACTTGGACCAGTTGTTGATGTCCAACAGAAAGCTATTAAGTTTGGAGCTGTCAGACTCGGAAGTGATAGGCAGTGATACAGTCAGATCATCTGCATATTTAACAAAGTTAGTTTCGTTTGAATGAGGTAGGTCATGTAGGAAGAAAGAAAAAAGAAAAGGAGAGAGGACAGCACCTTGTGGAACACCGGATTTTGTAAGCGAGGTAGAAGAAGATTTGCCGTTATATACAGTATACTGCATTCTATCAGAAAAATAGGAATGCAACCAACTCTTAGCCCAGGATCCTGTTTGTGTCAACGATAGCTTATTTAATAAAAGGCCCCTAGGTACAGAGTCAAAAGCAGATGTGTAGTCTAAGAAAGCACTACGAACATATTTAGCACCTTTGTCTAAACAAGAGACAACATTGTGATATAAGACAACCGCAGCATCCAAGGTACTTCTACCATGTTTGTATGCAAATTGTTTAGGATCATTAAAAGGTTTCAAAGCGGGTTCAAGACGAAGTAAAAGTAATTTTTCCATCAATTTTAAAAAGGGGGAAGTAATTGCAATAGGCCGAAATTTAATATCAGAACCAGAAGATGGTTTTGGTATAGGGATAATTTTAATGTTTTTCCATGCAAAAGGTAGAACGTTACCGGAAAAAGAGGCATTAAAAATGTTAGTAAGAGGATAACACAAAATATCAGCACAATTCCTGAGGACAATGGCAGGTATGCCGTCAGGACCAAGGCTTTGAGAAGGCTTAAGAGACCGGAGACATTTAAGCACATCAAGGGTATTAAAACCACTAAAGTTATTGTCAATATGATTTGTATCATTTGGAAGGGTATCAACAGAAGAGCGTATGAAAGATTTATTAAGAGTGTCAACATTAAGAGATGGAACAGAAATACATCGCTTACCGTTAGTAATTTCTTTGAAAAGTTTCCATAAATTAGAAGGGGTTTTACATGACAAAAATCTTTGATTATATAAAACACTTAGTCTTTTTATTTCCAGTTTTATCAGCATGTTTAACTTTTTTACACCAGGCTTATCATTAGTTTTGAACAACAGTTCTTTATTTCTACGTAGCTTTTTGAGATATGGCGAAGATAAGCGATCAAATCGGATGAATAATGTTTCTTTAGGACAACATATTTCGAAACAGAATTTAAGATAATCGGTAGTGTTTGTGATTGTTTCATCTAATGTTTGTTCTGTAAATAAGTCCCAGTTAGTGTCTTTCAACATGCATCTGAGCTTGTCTAGGTTGTCTTTTGAGTAGCATCTCCGTTGAACTTTACTGTAGAGGTGAGAGAGGACACCTTTGTGTGATTTGGAATATATTTTAGGCAGCACACGTATGATGCAGTGGTCAGAATTAAGTAGAGGAGCACGTTTGCGAGCTTCATATATACCAACATCATTGATGAATACTAGATCCAGTTTTTTACCAAGACGGGTGGCAAAGTTAACAATATTGTCATGACCAAGTGATATAAGGAAGGAGCAATCGCTCCCATTGAAGTCGCCAGTTACTATTGATAAAGAGTTCTCGAAGCAAGCTGCAGCAAAAGCGGTGAATTCATCGGCGAACATAGATAAATCCAATATGGTACAGCCAGGAGAGACATAAACATTAGAAATATAAATGAATTTGTATTTTGAAATGTGTTTCGGGCGACATCTCACAGTGATGCAATCAATGAAGTCATTCGAGAATTTGAAACAAACTTTGTTTGAAATGGACCATTTTGAGTGAATAAAAGTTGCAACACCTCCACCACACTTTTTCTTGGAACAAATACGGTCTTGTCGAAAAACATTGAAATTGTTTAGAGACACAATATTGTCATCGTATGAGTCATGGAGCCAGGTTTCTTGCAGAGTGACAATACCAGTATTGTGGTAGGTACTAGAAGACAACAGAGACTGAAAATCCAGAATTTTATTAGGCAGGGACCGGCAGTTGGTACTAATGATAACTGGAACAGTGGTGTGATGTATGGGTGTAGATTTTAAGGCACGCTGCCAACCTCCATGGTGCTTTTTCTTGAGTTTATTGCAAATATGAAAGTTTTTGGGTTTAAAACGTTTTATAAAATCCCGGGAGTGGATAATACGATTAGAATGCATAATGTGATATGTAAATACCAATAAAATACGAGTAAATAGATGCAAAATGTACATGGAATGTGGTAGCCCAAAAATATTCAAACAGGCCGCCAAGGTCATTCGCCTTAAACACCAGTGTGTTATCCCTCAGATAACTGGACCGGAAGAGCCAACTCTGATGCGATGAGTATCTGTGAATTGTTTAATTTATTTAGTGTTTCCCATTGACTAGTTTACATCGAGCTGAAATACTCACTGCCTGTTGATGTGTCGGCTACTGGTACGTACGCTTCGATGAAAGTTGAACACTAAAACCTGTGAATCATACTTTAATTGATTAGATGAATGTTTCTGCATGTAGATAGATATTTCTACCTAGTTTAGCGCACTTATCAAGCTTAGAGAGTTATATAATACTCTAAATAATAAATGAGCCTAATGGAATAAATTAATTCATTGATCAACCTGTTAGATTTGTATAAATCTCTATTTTCAAATGTGATGTGATTTCTTCGTCTGATTGAGATTCATTCCTTATGTTAAGCGTTGATGAGCAGGAAATCATTTCGGTTCTTGTGTTCCCATTGAAACATAGGGCTTTAACAGTATATCTCCATTCCGCTTATTTCCCCGTCATCACTTTCAACTGGCTCCATTACTGTCCACAAGCTTTATTTCTAGTTCTACATGCTATCCTACCGGTAACTCTTCATTATCATACCTGTCACTTCCCACTCGGGTTCTGTTCGATGGCCTGATGTGTTCTCGGGTGTTATGTGAAATGTCTTCCTAGCGTATGTCTATTCATTCCCTTCATCATATTTTTCGGGTAATTGATTCTTGGTTTGTTCGTTGCCAGGGTTTCTTGTTGCTAATCCTCTCTGGTCACCCGGTTTTGAGTATGGAAAGAAGACAACTATTGTTGAAAGCCTTCAGTGGACTGTTAGAAATGCCTTTAGTGGTGATGTGTGCTGCAAGTATTTGAAACATATAGAAAAAACCGACTTAACATTCGTGTTGGAATTTTGGATGGTGTTTCTTATGCTGAAAGCAGCAGCTATCTTTCCACACTGATTCCAGAGTAATGCAGGTCTCTCTTGCTTTCCCGGCCCTATCTTATCTATCTTTCACATCCACATCTGTGATATCAGTA